AATTTAAACATTAGCAGTGTCCTCATATTCAAATTATGCAAGGAAACCCGTTTACTTGCTAGACTTCACTGTCAGACACTATTGAGTGACTGACTGGCTTTTTTTCTTCTTTGGTAATAGCATACATGAAAAGAGTTGTAAAGGGTACATGAGCATTTGTCTACATCAATAACCCACTTCTTGTGATGGCCAAGATTAAACTGATTGAATCTTTGCGCAGCATAAAACGTATGACCATTCGGTACAATTGTCTGAAAATCAAGACTATTACTTTTGGGCTCTATAGCCCTAAGGTCGATTTGACAACTAATAGTCGTTATTTTCCCACATGAAGACATTTTCAAGCCCGACCTTTTTTTAGGGAAGTTCTGAATTAGTATTATCTTTCAAATGCAGTTGGAATTTAACTTTTTCATTTTTTTGGCCTGCAAATGGGACATAGTACCTTTAAAGGAAGAGAAAATATGGCCTGTTTTCAAATAGCCTGGTACTTTTGATCATTTTTCTGAGTTTCTGATTTTGAATTGTTTTGTTGAAATTACAAAAGGAAATTAATATATATTTTCCCCAGGTACTTTAAAAAGGAAGAGAGAAGATAGGCCCGTTTTCATTAAGCCGAGTTTTCAAAATATTCTGTGAATTGTAATCTATGGAATTGATACGACATGGTCTAGCTCATTGGCATTGAAGATGCGATTTCATTCCTGCACTTCCAATATTACATATTGGTCAAGATATTTTCCAGAACAAACTAGGACTTTTTCACAAAATAGCCTGCTTTGTAGTTTGTAGCCAATATGCAGATTACTTCTGCGCTGCAATCACATTAGGATAATAATATTCTCTGAAGCTCAAGCTAATTCTTCGAGTAAGCACAGAATACTCGACTTGAGCTATTACTATTATAGAGGCCAGGTAAATTTCAAACTCGTATATTTTTCTTGAGGAGCATTTATTGGTCTACTAACTCTCAAAACTCATGCTTGTTCAGTCTAATGAGGATGCACCTTGTATGCCTGTAACCTTTCAAGAATTCGAATTGAAGAAGAGAACTTTGCATGATGGTGTCCTGGCCTATTTTAGAACAGATTGAGGCCATCAAATCTTCTCCTTTTTTGTATTCCTTTTTTTCTGCAATTTGAAATACAGCCCTCGTTTTTCTCCCCTAGCTTTCTTGGCACCAAGGATCATATTTTCTGTTTGGCGCTATAGAAGGATGTTAAATCATTAGAATTCGTTAAAAAGTTAATGCCCTTCTGTCTCGAAAATATATTTGGATGAAATAATGAGGTTGACTTATATTTCATACAATGGCCAAACAAAATTGGATTGGGCTTTGGACAGAATTCCCCAGGAACCCTCCCCCCCCCCCCCCCTTCTGTCTCTAGAAGACATTAAGCTGATAATGAGGTTGACTTATCTGTCACTGTACTTTGACTTTAATTTCAAACAATGTCCAAAAAAATAATTGACTGAGCTAGGGGCAATTTTTTTTGGACGAATCAACCCCTCCCCCACCCCCCCCCCCACTCCCAATCTCCTACCCTTATGGACATGATCACCAACTCTATAGTTTTGCTTCATAGTAGCCATCTGAAGTGGGCCTTATATTTAGTTTCTTTATTATCAATTATCAATCAAATTGATACAATAATCTTCCTTGTGAATAAAAAGGGGGTTTACCCTCTCCATATTACCGGTACTCGTTTTTCTATTCCTATGTATAGGAAATAACCCTCGAGACTTGAGAAGAGACTCCAAAATCATTAACATCCAATTGTAGTGTGTTCTATATTAATATATTTTAATAGAATATGCCATTACAAATTCTTTATTGGTATTTAACCTAATTTCTCAACAGATGATATAGGGTCAACCGTCTATCACTTTTCACAAAACTCTATACCCATCTGTCTGTACTGCACAAAGAAATAAAAAATATTAAAAATTCTGGAAGAAGCAGATGGATATACAATTAGCCATAAATTTACCTAGATAGCCTTTTATTCAATACACAAGCCTTTGTGAGTTGACCTTATTATTTATATATTTGATTTTGATATCAATTCTCCTAGAAACTTGCTGCATTTTTGGTGCACTTTTGAAAGTGGGTTAAACGCTCCTGGCTGAATTGACTGGATTTCCATAAATCCAGTGATTTATTGGATTTTATTTATCTAGAGTGCAATAATTTGTCAAATTTTGAAAGTTAATGTACATTCCTTTCATCTGTGGGTAGAATATGAAGTATAAGATTTACCATTTAACTCCCATTAATTGTCTTTGTTATACCCACCCAAGGTTACCAAAACTTATTTTAAAAAAGGTTTTTCCATTTTCACTGTATTTAACCTAACCTAGATCTGTGTTCTCTTGATGCAGAAGAGTTGAAATCCGCTCTTTTAGGAGTCGTATTGGGGATCACTACCATTGGAGTGAAATTCACTCCATATATAGTGGAATCCACTCCACAGTAGTGCATTAAATAGCATTTTTGAGAGTGGATTACACCAATTTTTTAGTGATCACTTCAGATTAAGCCATCCTAAAATCTACCTTCAAAAAGTCATGAGTGATATCAGTCCTTTGTGTGTGTGTATGTATGTTGTTGTTTTGTTGTTTTTTTTGTTGTTGTTGTTTTTTTGTTTTTTTTTGGGGGGGGGGGTGGCGTGGTCCTTTGTTGCACGGTGTTTTTTCCATATTGAAGGTCAGCTTCTGCATAATCCTCCCAATTTATTTTGAGATTCCCAGCACTAAGTACCGGTACCACTTTTTGGGAAGCAGTACTTGTAGCTTTTTCGTTATTGAGATGAGAAGTTGGGAAAACACAATATGCGAGTAAAAAAGGGTGAAAAAGTACCTGGGAGTGGAGTCAGTGGACAGCAATTAACATTTTGTAGCTGTTGGAAGCACCAACAAAGCTCAGGTATATCTATATTGGATGTGTGGAAAATATGAAGAAGCCTTACAAATTGCTCAGTGGAAATCCTAATTTTCTATAGAAAATTTGGTATTTTTCACCTTGCTTGAGATTTGACAAGTGCACTGTGTGTTATTTGAAAATATTCAATTTTATTGCATAGGAGCTAGAAAGACGTTAACTCATGATCATATGATTGTACATAGAGTTAAAGCCCTTTTGGCTCTCTGCAGATGATTGCTGTGACCTTTTCTGTGCATAACTCCAGACGTGGCTCACCAGGAAATGTGCTCATTGGATATTGTGGCAGTCTAAGGGTTAAGAAACAATGATTTGATATTGGAAGGGTTAAACTCACAACCCCAATAGCCTTGAGTGGTTACTTAGCATGCGAGTACATAAATAATAATCAATAATGCTACAGTCTCGAGCAAGGCTTCATCACCGCTCATCCCAATGGTTTCTCTTCGCCAATTTTAGGCTTATAATTGCCCTTGCCCCAGCCCAACATGCTAGTGTCTCCTGCAAGGCTTCATTTACTCCTCCTTGAAATGGCTTTCCTTTGCCAATTTTGGGCTTCTAATTGACCTTGCCCCAGCCCAATAAACCCTGCACCATCAGCAGCATAAATATCATTTGTGGGGCCAAGCCAAATAGACATCATTTTCATCTAATCACATTTTGCGCTTCCTTGGAGCCTGCCTGCATGCATGTATTACAGGCTCTTAAAGAAAGAGTACCGGTCACGCAATTACTTAGTGAAAGAAACTATACTGAAGCAACTTTCACTTTCGCCAAGCTAGGAGCTTCCAAACATTCTTTGAAGTAGCCTTTTTTTACCATATGGGCGATAACGAGAAATGGGAGAGGTAGATCATGTATTACATAGGAACTGATGTACTTTGAGGTTTTACAAAGTGATCAGAATGAAAAGAATGTGACTCAATCTTGCTAACAAGGCACGGTGGCCCATTGGTAGAGCAGTGGTCTCGTAACTGGGAGGTCCCAGGTTCAAAAACATTTTGGTAAGGCATTGATAATCCCTATTACCAAGTACCGCGGAGAGTTTGGTCCAAATATTTCAGCTATAACTCGTCATGTTTTGAATATGAGGGTATTACTTGAAGAGCAATCCTTTTCAGGGGACATTACTACTCAAATATTCTTCCAAACTGACATAAAAAGTATGAGATAGCTCACAAATCATTTTTCATCTTCATCAGAACTCCACCTTCTCTTTAACAGAGTCTCAGCCCACACGATCTTGAATAACATTTGCTCGCACGCACGAGAGAGATAAAAGCCAATGCACTATTCAGGTTGAATCCTATTGTCATTGTCAAGTGGCATATATGATACAGGCCATAAATAGCAAAACATGTTTTGCTTTCTCTAAAACCACTTTCCTTGAGTAGACTTATAATGAATACATAGTGGCTCGGAGATGTTAGAAGTGGTTTTGCTCATGCGATTTGATTGATATTAAAACTGTCTAGAAATTATGAGGAGGTGTACAGAAAAATAGTTTTGTATTGTGGCGTTGAGACTTAAGAACATATGCGAATGAAAGCAAATTGACCCAACTGAAGTGAATTTTTACTGCAATTAAAATGGATTAATAGATGAAATGGATGAGAGGGCTATATACTTTCTATAAATGCACATTGAAAATAATGGATTTCACATTTCCTTGTTAAAAGAAGGTTTTACTGGTTATTCAGTTCAATTAAATTCAAATTGTAGAACTATCATATCAATAAGCACCAAATGTAGTATTACAAAAACCTTGAGTGTCTCTTTGAAGGGGCATTTTTCAGAGAGAAGAAAATAAAACATTGTCCCCCAAAAAATTAAAAAGTAGAATCACAATTTGTTGATAGAATGAGTTATCTCAACCATGCACATCAGCAGTTGAAACATACCAACATAATTTATTCTATCGTATTCAAAAACATAATTTCCACTACAAGAGATTGCAAATGTAATTAAACAAGGAAGGAGGAATTGAAATTGAGGGAAAAGAAATTGTGTAAGCAAAATCATTGACTTGATATGGATCTATAATCCTTTTTCTATCTCTCTTTCTCTTTGCTCTATATCCAGACAGAACGTTGATACAGCCTTGGTGCAGTAGAAGCAGAAGTCACATTTACACAAGGTAAGTAAATGCCATGACAACCATGCAATTTTGATAACAGTAGTAGTACAGGGCAAGATATTGTATTATATATATGTTCACCCATGCTTAGCGAAAACCAACCAGTTTTGAGAACTATAATACATTTGCAATTAAATATTTTATCCATATTTTCACTCATGCTTAGCGACGTACAACCGACCAATTTTGTGAATAATGGTACAATGCAATTGAATATATCATTCATATTTTTCACTGTTGCTTAGCAACAGCCAACAAAACAGTTTTATAAACAATGGTACAGGTCATTGGAATATATCATCCATATCGTCAGCCGTGTTTATAGGTTGAAACCTTGTATTCATGTATCATGAATGATGATAGTCGTACATTTAGATTTCTACATGGAATGATTATTTCTGCTGTTCTCTATGAAAAGGCATACTTCATAGAGTGAAATTATTTTTCAAAACAAGAGGTTTGCTTTCAGAATATGCTTCATTATAGCACTAAACCAAATTACGCTGATATCAGTTTAGTAGTTGATACCGTAAGGGGTAGACCTATAATGGTATAATAATGTCGTGAAAAAGAAGGAAGAGAGAAATAAAAAATAAAATGATGCCATAGAGAGAGAGATAGGATGATTGATAATGAGATTTGGCACAAAGAATGAAAACAAGTTTGTGGAAAAATCGAGAAGTATAAAGAGTCTTACAGAAGCTGAGGGGAGAGAGAGAGAGAGAGAGACCATTTTGAAGGGCAAAGGGAAGAGAGAGAGAGAGAAAGAAAAACACATGAGCAAGAGAAAGACAATAAGGATGAGGTAAAGAGAGACAGAAGAGGAACGAGGGACAGAAAAAGGAGAAAGAGAGAGTGAGAAAACTATATTATAGAGAAACAGGCAGAGGGGAGGGGAGAGGGGAAAGAGAGGGGCAAAAGAGGAAAGAGAGAGAAAGAGGGGAAAGAGTAAAATAACAGTTTTAAAGGAAGAAAGAATGAAAAAAAACATCTTTTTATAGAGAAATTGACAGATGCAGTAAAAGAGAGAAAAAGCAAGAGATCGACAGTCGAGCGAGAGATGGGGATAAAGAGTGGGATTGAATAAGGGATACTTCTCGTAGCCTGTCATGTTGATTCCCCCCTTAACACACTGTCGAGAGGGCCTTCCTTATTGCATGCCAAATCCGCCACCTAATCCGACGCGAGTCGATCGAATTTCAATCAATACCTTCGCGGTGAACGGAAAAAATGTTGTTCACACACTTGACCCTGCGTGTAACTAGCGCACATCATGTGTTCATCTCTGAATTTCTAATCAGGTGGAACATCGCCAATTTAAAGCAGATACTTCAAGATTTTTGTTTCCATATGTTGCTGTTTTGCTTCCTAGTATCGTGCCTTGTTGGCAATTGTTCTTACTCCTTGCATTCTGCTAGGTATCGGTTTCTAAAACCAACATTTACTGGAAGGGATCACTTGAAAAGGGAAGATATGTGGAATTAAATGCGGAGTAAATATTTAAGTTTCAATTAAATTACCTGATCATGTTCCTCTTTCAACTCCAGGATTAGGCAAACATGAATGGAATATTAGTGATACTATTTGATTAAAAATGGTACATGCATTTATGTCTTTTGTAAACTGGAATGATTCAACGAATGGCTACATTGCAAAACGTCATATTATAACATGGTCATGATTACCAAGTAAATATGAATTATAGCAACGCAAACAGACCTAGTAAAGCTTTTTATCTTGCCCTCATTGGGGTAAATTGCAAAAATGAACAGAAAGCTGAAATCAGACAATATAAAGCGAAAGCATGATGAAATGCCTGTTTTTGCTGCTATTTTTCCAATTATTTATACACTGTATATATTTTTCCCAAGTTATTGGTAATCATGGAACGATTTAATCCTGCGCATGAAAGGTTCAGCATTCCTTTCCCCCAAATAATGACAGGAATTAGAATAACATTCTCATATTTCCAAAATGTTTTCAAATCTTCTAACTTCAAATAACCTTAGCTGTGTGACTGTCGATTCTAAAAATGTATCGGGCAATTAGAAGTACTTTCATCACCTGGGGCTCACACTTAGCTCTAGTATTCAACCTTGCTTCATTACTGGAGCTCAGAAAGATTTATTAATGGCATTCTAAGAGTAATTAGTCTGCTATATCTCACCCCCCCCCCCCCCAATCTGCTTCTTCTCCCACCTCTGCTAAGGTGATGTTAAGTTTTGGAAATCAATTTGCATTTTGGTAGAAGCTGTCTTGAAGTCATTATTAGTAGGTTTTCATACAGCTACTTAATCCTTTGGATACCAAGACTGAGACAATTCTACTATAGTCTATGGATAGTGCATGTTAAATTGCATCCCTTGAGTTAATGATTAATGAACTAGCAACATTTACACAAAATTATGGAAACTTGCTGAAAATCACATGCATTGAATATCACCACCAACACAAATATGAACATACAGTATGGGACTGTTTGTGATATTGTGCAATAGAACATATCCTGCTCTATCGATGCATAAGATTGCTCATCTATTAATACTTTCTGTCAAATATTAGGTATTTTATTAGTTATTTTTATCTAATTCTTTAAGAAATTTAGTCATATTAAAAAATTCTCTGTCACATTTATATAGGGATGATATATATTCCAATGTGCTGTAAATTACAAACAATAAATGGAAAGAAACAATGCATACATGTACGCATGAAAATATACTTCAATTTTGTTATATATTGCTGGCGGACTTGCTAGAATACTAAGGATGTCTTTACAATGCGTAAAGCAAAATGTATTTATGTCTATCAGAAGTTGAGATTGATTAACTGGTATGTAATGGGTAAGCCTCCTCCTGCTTCCCTCTCTTAAAAGTCTTTTAAAAAGCCTCCGATACAAAGTACCATCATCCTTTCTAATGCAATTTAATTCACCGTAATTATGTCCAGTGATCTCGTTCGGGGCACTCAAGTAGGAAGCGGCATATTAATACACCCCGTCCATCGATACGTGGCCCGTGAGGGCGACAGAGGGTGCAATCCTCCGTGTTTGCCATTCGTGAAAGGATTAGCGAGAATCTGATTTGGCTTCTTTGTAATCCAATAGGCCGGCACACAAGCCCCGCAAACAGGACCAGGAGTATTAATGCACAGTTATTCCTTACTTCAATCCTCTCCCATCCCCCCATCTCCCTCATTTCCAGCAGCTCGTGTTTCTATCCCGGCTTCTCTCGGCAGTCGTTAACGCTTAATGTTATTATCCGGGCATTAGCCGGTGCTAAGGAATGCAATAGATTTCCCCCGGGGTGTTTGAAAACGAGATTATGATTAGAAGTTTTAAGCCGACACTCGCTTTCTGTTTTCCCTCTCATTCTCAATCTCCTTCTCTGTTTTTTCGCCGTTGCTCTCTTCGTGAATATGTATCCAGTGGATGTACATTTTGGGGAGGGACGCCATATTACCGGTAATTCAAGTGATTGGAGTCAATGTCATATATTGAGGGCCAGAATGGCATTAAATTAACTCTGTGTCAGAGTGCATGCATTAACACCGTTTTAGCTCTAAACAGACCATAGAAGATGTATGCCTATAGGAGGTGTACCGGTAAGCTTATTGTCTGTTTCAGCATAAAGAATTGTATCAGTTGAGAGGGTGTTAACTCTGTGTCAGAGTGTATCAGTTAAAGATAAACTTTAGTACTGGTAATCCGATTGCATTGTGAAAGAAAAGGTGTGGAAAGGATCAGAAACAGTTGATCATGTAGCATGTAAGTATTGGTGTGCACTGCAAGGTTCTGGAGTCATCAAAATCATAATGAATTTGACAGAGTCTTGGTAAAGTAACAAGCACTGTACACAGAAAGCTATATATGGGACAACACACATGGTGTCGGGGCTATAGTACTACCTTGATTTCCTTGTCGTTCTATGCTCATTACTCAGCCAGTTTACATTTTCTTCCAAAATTGTTTGGCACATGTCATTTATTTGTAATCTTGAACATTCAGTGTAAGTTTCGTTTGATTCTGTGAGAATTTTTTTTTTTTTTTTTTACCAGAACTGGAGTTTATCTTTAACGCCCTTCTGGCATAGATAATGGACAGATTGCCCATGCCATTAGATTTTGATGAGGTTAACACTTTTATCACCAGTGATTTATCGAAAGTTTCACTTTCATATTATAGGAAATGAAGTCAATGTAGCCATGCAAAATTAATATTTCACCGTTTAAAGGGCTACTGAGTGTATTGTTTTGTTTTCATCAGTATTTCTATTTTAGGATATCTGATTTTAACTTGATATTTGATTTGAATTTACTTTCCACTTTTCTTATGAAATTTTGATACCTCTGGCTATTTTCATTCAACATAATATGGCATATTTCTTCTATATCTTCAATATATTTCATGAAGTTTTTCTTTGTGACGATTATATTGCTCACATGCATATGGTGGGTCAACTTTCTCTAGCTGGGTGGAGTATCAATTTTCGCGATATTAGTTTTCTGGAAGCTATTCTTTGTGATGATTATATTGCTTGCATGGTTGGTCAACCTTCAGCTGGATAGAGTGTCTGTTTAAAAAAAAAAATACCTTGAATAACACTTAGTCTTTTATTCCATGTAGGCTGTTTCAGATTTATTCCAGACTGTTATTCTCTGTTGTTGCCGTAGAAGGATATTATAATTTTAGACCTTGTAACGTTATATTCTCATGAACGCACTGTAGGGAAGTTACCATCACCTTGCAGTTTATAGAGAAATTATTTGTTTTGGAATATCTCTTTTGTCTTCTCCTTTCCTTTTTAAATTTTCTCAAAGCAACATGGGATTTTTCAAATCAAATTGTATCCATCTTTCTTTCTTATCTAAAAAGAATTAATTAAAAATTGTCTTTCGATTTATCTATTCATTCAGTTTTTATTTAATATTTGTTTATTTACTTTTAGTATTACAGTGCTCTTTGGCTTTTTTATCTGTCCAAAGCTACATGAAATCAATCA